AGGCAGGTCGCATTCAGGGGTGGTGGAGTGGGATTAGTAGTTTGTGTGGAGGGCGAGGCGATTTATATCGATTCTTTGAGGGATTTGGAGGATGTAATCGGTGTACAGCGCGGGTGGGTAGGACAGATGGAAGGGGAGAAAATTAGTCGTTTCATTGCACAGTAAAATAAAACCCTCCCGAGCTCGATTCCTTTTTGGAGGTTTTGGAAGAGAAGTGTGCGGAGTTGGGCTGTGTCGACTGGCCTCAGAACCGAATACTATCGTACTATGGAAACCGCCATGATGGCGAAGGTGGTGGTCGGGGTAGGCTAGGCAGGGGTTGTATTGGGGGAGCCTCCTGAGTCTCATGGTGGTGGTGGGAGGTCGCATCGAGACCCCCTAAAGGAGGGGGTCGCGAAATTTCTGAAAATGTGCGAACGTCACGGTTGACCCTGCTACCAGCTCGAAAATGTTCAAGTGATTCTCAGCCTTTCGTCACGCAGCCGAAGCTTACAGAGCCACCTCCACTTTGCCGTGTCCAGAGACGTTGATATCTGAGGGTGCCATAGGCGTTCAATGCTCACAACACTTTTGAGATCTCCAATGTACAATTCTGCAAATGCAAAAGGAGGGAACAGATTATTCTGTGGGGTTGGCCTCGGAGCATTGCCTCTGCTGCATTCAATTTCTCGAACTAGACTCTGTCCAAAGTGAACAGCGCTATTGATAACCCGTGAAAGATCGTTCAACAACACATTACATCAGGGGTATGGAAGCAAAGCTAAAAAGGGGCGGAAGTGGTGTAGTGGCAAGTGGCACGCTTACCACGCGAGCGGTCCGGGGATCAAATCCTGGGTCGTGAGTCGCCCGGGCCAACCAAGCCTTCCATCCCTCCGGGGTCGGTTAATTGGTACCAGACTTGTCTGGGAGGATAAAAACACTGACTTGTACATCGGCTGGCCCCGCAAGTCATTGTATAGGCCACATCGCATTCAAACGCCACTACGAATGTACAAATGGAAGTAGAATGCGTGCCGCATCCCAAAAGGGATTGATCAACGGCAAATGCTTTATCCTTTTCATGGAAGCCAAATCCAATACGATTAGTCGGAAAATGGTAGGCAATGCATAGCATCTTTCGAATCGTTCATGCAAATCTCCGCTAGAGGAGAAATATGGCGCACACCTGAGTGGAGGAAAGCTGTACTACGCCTTTTCATTTTGTATTTTGAGGACTAAGTCTCGAAAAATATTGCTAGGCATTAGTGCCGTTGACAGGGGAAGTGCGAGGGTACTGCAGAGAAAAATTGCGATTTGCTGAAAAAAAAGCAGCCCGTTTTTCTTCTCGAAGTGAGCAAATGATTTATGTGGGGACTGAAAAACAAAGCGCTGTGTAATGAATGGAATTAATTTTTTATTCGATGTAATTCCGCTGCTGGCGACGGTGCAGGCGCGAACTCGATAGGACGCCCGTGGCCGACGAAGCCATCGTTTCGCTTATCACCTAGGGACTTCTCCCGGGTGTTGGCAGAGATCGACATCCAGCTTTCTGGTAGCTTTCTCACCTCTTTGGCCCCACCAACGCATGAGGGCAGGCATTCATAGGCATGTAGAGGATATATAGCAGAGACCTCAAGGTAGTCATTTTTTTCGAAGTTACCTAATCCAATGCACTTTCAACCGACAGAATAACCAGTACGCACATTATGCACCTAACATCGAGCAGTGGAATCGACCAGGATATCCGCGACCTCAAGCAACCTGCACCAGAGCGACTTGTCTACACTCCAGAGGCATTGTGCGATTTTGATATTCACTTAATTTCACCTATATGAAAGTTACCAGAGACCCCAGCTGCTGAAATTAACCTCCGCTCATGACAGGCGGTACTTTACAGATGTTCATGGTACGCGATACGTGAAACAGTCGAGCCATTGCACGGCAGAATTCCACGTTTCAGCTAACCCAAACCCGCTTCAGCCAACTACTCCAAGCAAAATAACCATTGAGGTGCCTAGTGTGTAGTGTGATCAGCAGGCAATCTCAGATCGTACCGCATCCCATGGTCGGACCTCCATCAGCCAGACCACAAGAGCAGCTGTCTTCTTTTCGCAGGATTACGCAACAGGTTCCACTTTTTCATAGCGTGGCTTTGCATACTGGGGGGGGGGGGGGGGCAAAAAAAAAGAGTCACTCTCACTCACATTCAAAACAGAATTAATTACACTTTGCCAAAACCAAACCGAATGAGCTCAATTGCATATTGAAGAGCACATTCTATTCTATCAAAAACATTGCATAGTGGCCTTCTACACCGACGACACCAGAAGATTTTCCCACGGAAACATGGTTCGCGGTACGAGCTCAACGGGGGCGGTTCCCCTAGTAGTCGCTCTGGCCTTTTATACGAGGCCGTCGAGAAACCATAGACGATTACGACGTCTCTGAAACGCTGGTCAAAAGCCATGTTGCATAGTCAGAGCTAGTGTCTCTAAGAAGTCATTCACCAGTTATCCGATTGAAGAATTTATGTAGCAGCTTCAGAATGGAGCGATTATTGTAGGCCTCCTTAAGCTCGACGGTGATGACAGATGACGTCATATTCTGGAGACGGTGAACGCAGCGAAGGTGGGCCTGATTCTGCTTATGGGGGACATCTAAGGAATAATTTGCCGTATAACTCCCAATAACAGCGGCATCCTTTGCGACGAAAAGTTTGATGATATGCGCCATAGGCAAAGTGACTCTTTTTTTTTGCCCCCCCCTGTACATCTATTCACCGCAGAAGAATTACTGTTAGTAAAAAATTTAGGTACACGTAAGAAGTTTGAGATATTTGCAGAACAGGGTTAATTTTCACTAAAAACTATAGTTAGATGTGATTTCTAGCTCTACTCTTCTGCTAACATATCTAGCACGACTTTGCAGTGATACTACTTTTTCACCAAATTAACATGAGAGGTAGGACATAGAGTCCAACACAGAAAAAAAAAATAGACCGTCTGTGGGTTTTCCCCATCTTGTGTCCAAAAAGGGGCCGTGTTTCTGGAGGGCACGGGAAGAAAACTAGATGCATTTGTGTAAAGTTCAGAAACTCCCCCTTCCCGCTCTACTAACAAGGGAGAGGAGGTCTTTCAGGGCGAAGCCGCGCCGTTCCTTGCATGTTGTAGGGACGCATGTATGGAATACAGTACCAATGTTTCGTTTCGTTGTACGCTTGTTTTTAGTCTTCATAAAAATGTAGTGAATAATACTCTTGATGGTTCAATCCCCCGCGGCAACTAATTTTTGCAGTCAAGGTTGGCAGCCACTTG